CTTTCAATTCTGATCTGTCTCTTACTTCTACGCTGGTGGCTATGTTCCTTGTGATCGCCGTTTGTTGTGTGTATGCTTCTGCCATTGCTCGTTGCAACTGGATCTGCCCCTGTGCTAGGGCTTGCATCATCTGTGCAAATTGTTGTGCCATGTCTGTGGCTTGTGGTGCCTGTGCTCCTGGCTGTTGCGCCATGTTGACTTGCTAGCCAGGGATTGAAGCAATCCGGCTTTCCTGCAAGTGATGCTTGTTTTTGTAGGTTTCCGGTGCCAGAGCCGATGCGGCTCGGCAACCTTTGATTCGCAGACGGTAGCCGGGTCTTAGAACCGCGGCTCCGCTACCATGAACGGAGAATTTAGGCTCTTAAACTCAGTGACGTAGGGTCACAGTCCCAAAGGTTGTAGTTGAAGCTTAGGCACACTTTTAGCTCAAACTTGAACAAACGGATTGAACAAACGGCTGCAGTGAAACATACATCTATACAAGCTATGTCATGTACATGCCACTGGTGCTACATCTGATCACAAATCATGTGCCACAATCACATAACCCACAAAAAACTGACGATTTTGTAATGGCTCTTTCGTTATAGTTTTGTTATACACTGTATTTTTTCAGGTCTTGACCTCGTCTTTTTTGGACAAAGGGCCCCACTGACACCTAACAAGCCTCTACAAAATCAAAGATCCTGCTTTATATAACATGGACACTGTTTACAAAATCAGAGGCGCCAGGAGCGCATCCAGTGGCCCCTGTCCAGAATCAGGGACCCCATGCTCGATGTCCTTGTTCCAGGTGTGGCAGGTTTGGTGATCGAGAGTGCAAAGGCACATGGACCAGGTTTGGGGCTGCGCAGTCTTCATCTCGTTTCTGGGTTGGAGTCATTGTTTAGGACTGTCCGCATAGAAAGGAGACTCCCCAGAAGTTCTCAGTCTCATTGTTTGGTTTAATTGCGACAGGTGCGGGAACTTTTTGTGGCGAAGAAGGTGAAGCAAGAGCTTCAGACAGAAGGCGTCGAAGTTTGGGGGCTCAAGGGGTGTTTTTGGTGAAGACGTTTTGTATCGTTTTGTGCATTCAGGGGTCACCATCATTGATAATTACATAGTGATACCGATACCTGAAAGGACCCAGCTGGCGGCTACGGTTACAGACAGCGAGAAAGCCAAAAAACATATACCGATACCCTTGAGATATTTTGAGATCCTTTTAGATTATTTTAAAGATTCTTTTGTGTTGTGAATTTTCGGCAGGGTTGAGAGGCAGTGGAAACCATGCACGACCATGCACATGCAAAGGACAGGGGTACCTGCGACAGGTGTGGAAACATCTCCGGCAAAGAAGGTGAAGCAAGAGCTTCAAACAGAAGGCATCGAAGCTTGGGGGTTCAAGAGGCGTTTGGGGAGATGTTGTGAGACTTTGGATTTAGTGAAGTGACGCTTTGTTTTTTGAGACTATTTGTATTTGTTTGTTTACAAGCGACAGGTAGGGGAATTTCAGCAGCAAAGAAGGCTTAGAGCGTAGCGTTTGGCACAGATTTCAATCAGAGTTTGGAAATGCCAAACGCATAAATTATATAACAACAAGACCAGCAAAAACACACACAAGTTATATAACAAAATATGACGAGAAAGGTCAACTACCCCGTTCTCTCAACCAGTCAAACTGTTACAAAATCAAGATCAAAAGTCAACCATGGCATTTGTATAGAATCAACACCCCCACCATCAAATCTGCATAAAATCAACCACCCCATCTTCACAAGTGTGACATAGTGTGACCATACCCCTTCCACAGGCACAAAATGACTCTTTACATAATCAACCCCCCCTAGATCAAATAGCCGCATTACAAATTAGTGACCCTCATCTTTCGTAAAAATGATCATTTTCTGGCCAACAAAAAAATCAATCACTACAGTATCGGAGGGATTTTGGTATCCCAAGCAGCTTAATTCTGTATTGGATATCTGCACGGGGATGGAAAACACCTTAAGCAAAAGCAGGGTGATCATTGTCGTCACCAGTGCCCAAACGCCTCACATCACTGCCGAACACGAAAGCACTGCTCCTGCAGGCAACGAGACATTGCAACGAACTTGCATGGGTGACGAACTTACATGGGTGGTGAACCTTTGGGCCAATTCTGCACGATACAATAAGTATCGATAAGTGAGGACATGACTCTTCCCATAGCCCACCATCGGTGCTCCTGCCTGGGCCAGAAATGCTGTTGGTACTGAACAAGTCGCCAACGTCTTGAGGCTGGGTTCTGGTTTGCTCTAAGAGTTGGAGGAGAGCTGACCACCAATCAGACGCAGCTTTCTTCCATGTCCTCTGATGCCTTGCGGGCATCAGAAGGTGCTTCAGCCACGCCGAGGATGCAGTCCTGAAGGTCTTGTAGACAAAGCCATCTCTATAAAGCTCGCCATCCACGACATAGAAGTGCTTCCAGCCTTATTCCAAAAGGAGAACGAAGGGCAACCACGTCTGCTCTTCTGAGTCTTCACACGTCTCAATATTCAGATCTTCTGTGCTGCCTGTGCTCAGATTGAGGGAGCGCTTACAAACTCGATATGTATGATTGAGTGTGCAGGTATATACATATTAACTTTCATGTGCAGGTATTAAGTTCATATATATATACTATATATAAATATATGAATATATACATATAACATTCATACACACATACTATCACATACTGACATGCCCCTTGCCTGTCGCCACAAAGGTGTTCACACACACACACCAAGTATAAAGAATGGAACCCTGTCACCACATTCAGTGGTGGTTGTGGTAGTGGTCTTCATGTCCTGTCTATATAAAGTAGGTATAAAGTAGTCAGAAGGACAACTTACGGATTCTTAAGATGGCTTGAGAGTTCTCCTGCAGGCTGTTTCTGTTTGAGGACGCCCTGTAGGTAGGTCTAGACTTGGCCAGCCCTCAGTGATACTGAATGAGATGGTCGAGAGTCAACCTTGAACTTCAAGGTTGGATTCTCATAATTCATGTGGCTGTGGGTCAACCAACCCGGAGCCATAAACCCTGGTAGGTTGACCATATCTAGCAGTCTATGTTCATGTTCAGTGGAGAAAAAAAGCCTTTTACAGTAGGTGTCCCAGTTTTGACCCGCCCCTTCTTCCATGGCAAAAACGATCACCTGTTGGGGACGGCATACGGCCTACCACTTGAAAAACCCTGAAAAACCTAGCTGACTGAAACCCTCCCACACACACACACACACATCCTCCCATTCCCCTCATCAGCCCTTAAGTTCAACAACCTGCGTTGTGTGGTAACGGCTCATTGTGGGTCCACCATTCGTTTCGGACACCCGAACCGACCTGAGTCAAACAGAGCCAATGGCAGATCCAAGTGGCCCTGGTTCGTTCGTCGCGGCTCGACATTCACGACGACCTTGGGCATTTGCTGACGTGGATGAATCTGGAGAACATCTTCACCACGTTCTGTTGTTTTTCTTCAACTGATGTCTGATTGGACAGACCCAACACCAAAAGAAAACAGGCACCAAAAATCATCTAGATCTGAGATGTCCATATTGGAAGTGATTGTGGACTTCCAGGTGCCCCCTACGGGAGTGCTACAAGCGGTCTGGGAAAATTGCACCTGTTCCAATGAGCATTTCATGGAATGTCCAATCCAAGCCCACCAGTTATGGAATGGTACTTACATTAGGGATCATTAGGGTCATAAATTGGGTAAATGATTGTAAGTGTAGTAATTAACTGATTATTCCAAACATGGATGACACGAAAATCAAAGGACCAAACCTGCAGAAACACCGGCCCTTGCACGCCCAAGCGACTTGTCCAGTTGCCTCCACATCCCCCTTGTGAAACCACTTGGGCGGGAAGATCTTCTTGTTGTTCTGAGCCAGCGGGGCATGTTCGGGCGAGCGGCGGTGGGCAGGTGTGACCACCCAAAACCAAGCGGGAGATGCTGCATCCATCGCTAGATTGAAGACCGGGCCTCTTGCAACTGGTGCGAGCATGCGGGAAACGGGGTGGAACGAAAGAAACAATCAAGTCATTTTTCTGCCTCAGCAGGTAGAAAAAGGCCCGTGGAAAAGCAAGGGCATGAGAACCACATGTTAATAGTCTAGTTAGTAGAACACTCGCAGAATGGAGCAGGATGCCTTTCTAGTTCGTCGATCCTCCCATCACCCCGTCCGATACGTCGCCACGAAAAAAGAACCAACCTCCAATCACAACAAAGAAGAAACTCGTTCCAGCGACCTTTCGTTCCACCGCATCGACATGCTTCCGCCTTGGCGACTTGACCTCCTGACATCCTGGGTTTGATCTTCAAGGTGTGAGAGTCGTCATCGATCTCCGCCACCTGGCGCGAAGTGAAAGTGATCGGATGGGAGGAACCACACCACTAAACCACCAAGCGGTGTGGCGGCCAGGGGCAGAACATATTGGGCAAAATGCCAACGTGCCCAACCTCCACCAATTCGGGCTTTTGGGGCATCCCACACCGCGCTTCATATCCATGAGTTCACCCTGGGCCGATCCCGGTCGGCCCAAAGCCATCGCTGCAGACAGTCCAGGATCATTCAATGGGTGTCCGATGGGGGTCCACATCATATGTAGTACAGGGTATAGTCGGTATAGTCGGTATAGTCTATGGCTGACCGGACGATCCAGGGTGGTTTGGACGGCAGCTTCGGCCGAACGCTTCGGCTGTGCCTGTGCCAAATCGCCGCGGTAGGGGCCCCTCTTGAGCCTGACCCAGTCACCTGACATCCAGTCGCAGCACTCAACCCTTCCATGGCGCCATAAACTGACTTCCTCGGCATTTATGTAGACTCTTGATTAAACCACCCCCATACAATAGGAAGAGGTTTTACCATGTTTTACCTTTAAAGAAAGGTTGATTTCTTTTTATATAAATGAGTCTTGAGTCAAGAGTGCACAGTTTATACTGACTACTGTAAGCAATCCAACTATCCTCCTGTGCACTGCGCTTCTTTCAGTTCGAAGGGAACTTCAAACCCATCGCTCTCAATCGGCACACAGATCAACACCCCGACACGACAGCACGGGCCGCCGCCCCCGCCGGTCTCAGCCACTGGCCTTGCTGAATGACCTTGACCTTCTGCGCATGCGCTACGGCCGCCGAAAAGACGCCGGCCATCTGATCCAGCGGCACCAAGGAGAGCCCGGTGTACTGGGACACGCCGTTGATGCCCTTCGTGAACCTCGACTCACCAGTCCGTCGGTCCGAGTGGCGTGGCGTGTGGAGAGCTTTGAAGCCTGTCCAGGTGCTAAGACGGTCTACTAAGACGGTGACCAAAGACTCGATTCATCTCGATTCTATGCCTCTTAAGTCGCTTGGAAACAGACTCCCCGAATCTCCCCCGGCATGTTCCGAGAGCATCAGCTATAATGGTTTGGTGGGAATCCATCCACTGGGCAGTGCCGTTTTGACGCATGAGATGTCGTGATCCGGGGGGCTTTTCTTCAATCAAAGACCCGCCACGGTCTACAGATGTCTACAGTCTCCTACAACATCGCAAACCACGATTGCTTCATTGCTGAAGATGATGGCTTGCTGACATGATGATGGCGTAAGCTACTGACCAGGTAAACAGGTGCAACTCAAGGTGGCCGGGTTCCTTCCCAAAATGAACCCCCCTCGACGTCTTGACTTCCTCAGAGTCTCCTGCCCGGCCTGCGCACATCGGCCTCTCGATGTGCCTCCAGGTAGATGTAGCCCTTGACATACGGCACATGGAAGACCTGAGAACGTCATTTGGGACTGACTGGGACCCTTGATGGAGTAGATCTACGACAATCTATTTATGTATTTGCACCCGGAAAAGAGACTGGCGAAGTCACATGAAGTCACACTGCTGGCAGTGGAAGTGCTTTTCAGGACGACCAGGCCTGCGCCCCTCCAAATGCAGGAATCGAGAGGTTTATTTCGGTGTGTTTCTCACTTTCTCTGACAAGTCTTCAGGTTTACGAACCCTCCATCAAGGTCTGGCATCCCTCTCTTCCCCAGCTGCTGCGTGCGCCGCGGTGCGCAGCGCCATGCCGCCGAGGAGCCGAGTAGACGGGCACCGTTTGTCCGGACTTGAGTTCTTCGAAGGCCTTCCACATGAGCTTGATGCAAAGCTCCTCCACTGTGAAAAGCACGGGAGATGAGCAGAGCAGTGCGGTGTTGCGGTGCAGTTTGGTGGGTGAAAGTCTGGCCACCTGTGAAGACATGGACTCCTCGGACCCCAAGGTCAGTGATTGAGTAGTGGACCCCTGACCAGTCTAAGACATCGAACGGGGTACCAGTGCCATCGGCACTGCTTTTCATCCGAAGGCGACGCGGAAGGCTAGGGGTACTCTTGGCACAGCAAAGGAGCAGAAGGGTCCTTCTCTCCCGCTGCTGTTCGGTGTTCATGGAAAACAACACGCTGCCACACACTAGGCCACCAGTTCAACATGTTCATTGCCATCCATTGCCATGCTTATGCCTCTCTCGCTAGGTATCAGCTATTTATTTATAGCACATCAAGTTTTCGACATTCCTCCTGGTGGCTTTTGAGAGTCCCCAGCTGCCACGTCGGACCCGCCGGTCTCCCCTCCGGTCTCCCCGCAACGCCTGCTCGTTTCCGAAGGTCTTCAAGCACCAAAGCCTGTGAAAGGGTTGGGCTTCGCCCCAAAATGCGCCCTCCAACACTAGAGGTTGAGGGGAGCATTGCAGTCTAAGCACCTCTTCACAAATCCTGTACCTGTTTCTGTTTCATCGGTCGCTCGCCTTCCTAGCCACCTGGGCAAGGCCGGCCTTTCTAAACACGGGCATCCTGGAACAAGCACAAGCCAAACTGCTGGCCAAATGAGCAACCAGTTCCTTGCAGTTTCCATGGATCTCGACCTGATATCCACCCCTTCGACAAGAAAGCTCCGAGTTGTGCAAATGTACATAATGCACCTTCTGCTTCTGAAAAAGCTTTGGTGCCGCACACAGGTAATAAATCGAAACAGCACTCAAACCAAATTACTGAAGGGAATTCATGCACTTTCTATATTGGTATATATATATATATCGATCATATATATATATATATATATCCATGTCACTCTCTACCATTTCCCGTGTTACTCCACAGCTGCCGCTGTCCCATAAGCCTCGGATCTTTGTCTTCAGGCACCGTCACGGTCTGCTTCACCGCCTCCAAGGGAACCTGCAACTGGGAGATGTCTTCCCCGCGCTTGGCACGGTCTTCCATCTCCTCGACGTTGTGGCGGATGATCGGCGGATGACCGGAGGATGAATTGTGGATGTCTCCCATCCAGGATCGCGAAAAACGCGTGGTTTGGGGGGGGCTCGGGTTCTTGTCTCCCGGCGATCCGGGAGAGCCAGGTAAAAAAAGATGTGGACTTTTGTGTGGTTTCGTGGCGGGTTCCGGATTGCATCAAATGTCCTGTCAACAGCTTTGGGGACAGGTGGAGGTGAGGTGGGAACAGCCAAAACTGCTCAAAACCTGATCGATAGGTTTTGGTGAGCAAACATCGAGCATCATTGAGCAAATGTCGCCACCAAGCAATGTGGGCAACACTGGGCAAGGAACATTGTATAGCACAGCCAGGCGAAAAACATCATCGACTTATGACTATATATATATATATGCTACATATACACACTGTATTTATATATATATAGTTCTATATATATATATATTTGTGATCTATATGCATGAACTGCAATCCTCAATCAAGATAATCATAGATAATCAAGTCTCATGTAAATTCATCAACTCAACTCCAAGTCCATGAAGGATCAGCTCAGGCTATCCCGGGCCATGCTTCGCCCCTTCACCCCTTCCGTTCTCTCCTGGTAGCGTTGTTCCATTTCATCGAGCCGTTGAGAACTAAAGAGCCGCGCTGCACCTGCCAAAGGGCCACGTGCTGCCAAATCCTCCTTCAGCTCCTGCCGATCGTTCGGGAGCTAAGGTCATGGAGCTCAGTCGGTCCAAGGCATCGAAGGTGAAACCGCATGGTGGGAGCGAAGTCGGTCCATATAATTAAAGGTATTTATATGTATTTATAAGGTTATGTTTATTTAAAGTATTTTTTGGATCTTTTTGGTGGGTGATCTGGGCATCCGGCTGTTTGCAAGCAAGTGTACATGGGCCGTGTTAGATGCACCTTCACACCCTCATCAGCCGTGGGTCCGGGATGGTCCTGGTCTCGTGAAACCCTCAACTGGCCATTCCAACTTTGAAGTCGCTCCCAGACACTCCATGGGACTGCCACAGGACTGCCGATCAGGCCAGGGTTGGTTGAAAAGGGGTCAATGTAGATATATATATATATATACCCATGGAGTGTCTGGGGATGATATAATATACTCTCCTGCAAACTAACATGGAATCCGAGAATTGACCGGTTGTTTCGACCATTTTCCTCTACAACCCGACGTGGTTTTGGGGTTCCATGTGGTCCTTTGCAGGGGAGTCAATGTTCTGAATGTTCTAACGGAGAAGCACCGAGGGACCGAGAGGGAACGGCTTTATCATAGATCTTCCGCAACGCGCCCGAGTGCTTGACCAGCTGGATCCGTTCCCCCCGAACGCCAGGTCTGGGTCTGCGTCTTCATGTCAGCCATTTGGAGATGTATTTGTGCCTATGCCAGCCTGGGGCTACCTGGAAGTATTGCATTCTTCCAGGCGGCACACATGTTTCTGGAGGGAAGATAATGGATCATGGCCACTCTCCCCTGCCACATGACGCTTCTAGGTTTGTAAGTAGGCTTCTAGTTGCCATGTCCTGCCAGGAATGTGCTGTATCCCACCCGGTTCTGGTCCTGCAACTCTTGGTTCATCTTCTTTCGGAGCTTTGCACGGCCGGCATCTGTCATCGGCGCCCCAGTGTCATCGATGAGCTCCTACCAAGCAAGTCATCAACTCCAATGGTTGGGGGCTTGGTTGGGGGGAAACCAGGACCACGGCCCGGCGCGCGCCCCATCCGGATGCCAACAGGGCATTCCATGCTGCAGCCAAGAAAAACATTGGATTTTAAAAGTACGTCATGAGCTGCGCCAGACTGACATGAAGAAGACAAACAAAGGAATCAAACAACAAAGGCAATCAACAAAGGAACCGCAAGCAAGACATGTGCATCTTGGGAGGCCAGGCCTTTTTTGGCGAGTCATATGATCCAGGAGCGGAAACGTGGATGTCAAGCCAGGATGTGCAAAAGATTGCAAACGGGGAGGGGGGTCCTCACGTGTACATTGAGTAAGACTTTGTAAGACCATCCATGGGATGGGAATAGGGTGCTTAGACTGGTGCTTACTTACATGAATAGGCAATGTGCATGAGGTAAATGTATGTACAGTAACTATATTGTAACTAACTATTCCAATGTCATGGAGTCATGGAGCGTGGGGGGTTGAGTAAGACTTGATCGCAGTGAGGTCCAAGTACAGCTCCCAAACCGCTGTGGGGGTCCAAAAGACTCGCTTGAAGAAGCTGCAGATCACAGGTCGTCCACCAAGTGGGTGTTTTCTCCATGTTCTCCATGTACGCAGAAGGCTAAGGCAAGCATCCATGAAGGTCATGAGGTGATACGACATAATACAAGTAGGCCCTAGGGCTCCTGGCGCCCACCTCCGTTTCGAAAGGTGTTTTGGGGGGGGGGTCTAACCACCGAACCTGAGGATATGGGCCAGGAGCCCTAGGGATGCTTGTAACATGTTGCAACATCATAGTACGGATTCCTACTGCAAAGGACCATCCAATCAAACTATGTACACTCTGATCCACTAACATGGCCAACAGGCCCTTCGGAAGACCATATTGATCTATGAACACGGGGGTTTTCCATCGATAGTGAGTGGCCAAGTAACAGAAGCTCCACCTGGCACACAAGAGCATTATCTTCCAACCCTTGCAAAGCTTCAAGGCTATCAATTTCTGCATTGATCCTCAACCTCTCTCTCCCATGGATCCTCACGCCCGATCAACCGCCGGCCTCATCGATGCCCTCATCCTCTTCTCCACCGCTGCCTCCCACCTCCTCCGCTTCCAGATCGGCGAACTGACCTCGGACACCGCCCGACCACCGCGGAACGGCTCTGCTTGGTCGGCACCACGGGTCCCAAGCGCGGCTCTCGACGGCGAAGAAACCCCAAAAGGCGAAGCAAAACAGGGACACCAACAAAGCCTTGGCCGAAAAACATAGTAGGCCAAGTCTAAGGAACATTTCCCCTGATACCGTACCCCTGATAGACTACATAATCTCTTATTCATCAATCCTGAGCCTGGACTCATCAGTCAGTCCACGGCGGCCACCTTTTTGCACGCATAGTGGGCCAGCAACCCCCTCAGCTGCGGTCCGTGCGTCCATAAGGCAAAATGGGGCCGACATTCGCCCCCCATCAGATCTCCAGCGGGTCTCCCAGTGTTCAAACGAGCAGGGAGCTTTCCGCCTCAGCTTGGGGAAAGCACGAGGGCACTGGATCTGTTCCGCCAATGGCCTTCGCCGTAGCATCCACCCCATCACAAATCTTGTACCTAAGCTGATGGTGGATGTGCGAATGTGTCGTGTTCGCTGTTCCCGTTCGCTGATCTGTTCGCAGACATGCCGTGGTTTCGTATACAGCTATAATGGAAAGAACGTCATAGAATGACTCAAGAATATGGTTCCCCCACCCAATCCACTCTTCTGGCCGTGGCTCTCATCAAAGAACTTCTCCCGAAATGTGCACCAAATGCAACCAAAGGACCCTGCTAAACATTGAAAGGACGTACCATACCATACTGGATCTCCAATCTACTGAGATGTAGTTTTGCTTAATGGTGCTTAATTATTTTCCTTCATTTATCTTATAGGTGATTTTGAGCCACTGCCATCTCAATCGCTTCAAAATACTGAAGATTCTTCTTGTTCCCCTTCCAATTGATGACCTTCACCCCGTCGAAGGTGAGGTTCTGCATGGGGTAGGCCTTGTCGGCCAGGATCACGCCAGGTTGATTCTTGGGGTTGTCCACGGTGACCTGAGTCGGGACGTTCGTTAAAAAAGGCTTACCAAAGCAAGGCAAGGCACTCAGAAAAATATGTTCACAATGTCCAACTGTTACATGGGGTATCATGGGCTTTACTTGATGAGACTTGAAGTTTCTTGTTCAATCCATCCTTTCTGCAAGATTAAAACAGTCGTTTCACTCGTGAACCTGGAGGACGGGGGAACTCAAGCGCAATGGTATGGTTGGAGGCAGGACATCTCCGGAATCGTTGCTCTCCTCTGGTCGTCTTGGTCTGAGACTGGAACAGCTCCGCTCGTGTTCTGAAAGGGCTGATGAAACATAATGAAACTCCAATCACAGGAGAGTAACACAAAACAGAATAAAGCACATCTATACCCATCCAACGAGACTTTATTCTTAGAAAGGTGCAAAATATCCTCAAAAGGCGCCAGCAAATGCCAAACATCCACTGGGGCGGTGTGCGCAAGCGCAGTGGATCCACTTACAGTCTTACAGTGGTTTCAGAGTAGATGGCACAGCATCTAAGATGTCTTGTAGATGGGGTCCCATATAAACCACCTCTTGGGGATTGTGCCATTGGTCCTCTGAATCCACTGTATTTCAAAAGAAAACGACTCATGATCACTCATCCAAGCACCATGTTTCCATCAATCGTCCAAGTGCTCAAGGGCCGAGTGGCGTTCTTAATGAGGATGTTCCGGTAGAGGCCCCTCTGGGCCGCAGAACAAGTAGCTCCCGGCACCGCTGGCCAAAGCAATGAGCAAGGGTGGCCCTGCCAGAGAATGCTGGGGCGTGAAAGCAAGCGACATGTCCTCCGACTCAACTGGCACAGTCCGCCCAGTAGGGTTTAAAATGGCTTGAGCAACCCTTCTCAAACCTTTTTTTGTCTGTGTTGTCAGAACCTGCAGAACTGCGCCAAGGTGCAGTTCCAGTAGGCTCCACCAACCTCCCAACTCTTTACAAGCAACTTGCTAGCACGTCAACTTGTCTACCCTCCTAGACTCCGGAGGGTCCTAGACCAAGAAACTTCAAGATAACAATAAGAACAACGCACTGAATTGGGAAATGTACAGTAACGGAATTGGGAAACACTGATTTGTTACATCGGAACATATTTCACAAAATCTCCGACCTCGTCTTCGCCCCCCTGGGGAGATCGGAGCCCGGACCAAACCATGGATGTCCCAAACGATCTTCCATGGGAGTCGCATCCGCACCAGACCAACGATTGACCCCACATGACCCCACCCGAATCTTCCTGTGACCACGGCCATCACCCACCACACATCACCCGCCGAGCCTTCCAGAACTCCCTGGAGTCGGATTGTTGTGCTGGGCCGATCCAAATGGCCCATTGCTCCGGCTCCTTCATGTAGATATTCTCCTCAAGTGCAGGCGAGCGGTTTGGGCGGCACCACGAGCGGTTTTGGCGTATGGCTTCTAGAACGGTTTGGTTTTGGGGGCGGGGTGTCGGCGAAACGGCTCAGCTTCTTAGCGTGATGTGTGGGGCTAAGGTCGACCGTTGATTAAGAATCTAGAGCACCACCCAAATCTAGACTGATGCTTTGACATCTCCATGGGGGGGCGCTATCATATCTACGCTCCAACTCACTAACATGGAAGTGGATGGCACCCCTGTTTGTCTTCCTTTCGACACCTATATAACTCGTATAACTTCGTCTTAGTTTTGGTGCCATCTATGCGATATTTACACGGAGGTGTTCCAAAGCTAATATTGGTTGGAACTACTACCGTCTGGTACAGCTCAGATGACATCAGTTTCTCGTGGTTTGTTGCATGCAAGAAAGGTTCAACAAGAAAATACTTGATTGATCTTGTTTGCAAAGTGCATGAAACATATTCCAATGCAGTCCTTATGAGTTCAAACAGTGGAAAGCATAACAACCGAATCTGGTGTGGCCACGCCAGTTACTCTCTCATAGTTAATTTCTTCAGCATTTGTTCTCGATCGCCCCCCGAAGTTTTGCCCGTTTTTGTCGACCACCTCTCCTGGTTTGATCCCCAGGAACTGCTTGGGGGGTCTGGGCAGGTGCTACCAGAATGAGCCCCGATCCTATCGATTGAAATCATGATCAGAACGCTTGTTTCACACTCAGAACGCTGGCCAGGAACGTCAAGTCGCCTTCTTTCGGACATTTGCTTAGTACATCTTAGTACTGACAGGTTGACTAACTGGTGCTTAGTAGGGAATCGGAATACGGGAATGACCCCCAACTAGTTATAGATACCTTGGGATCCAGCCACCCTCATTCCTTGCTAAGCACTGGGCACCAGTCAGTTGAGAGATGTTGAGAAGTCACAGGCAATATTCTCGAAGTAATACATTAATTATCATTAGAAAAATGAATTATAAGTTTTAGTTAGTTTTCAATTTTATTTTCGATGCTTAGCTGATGTTCACTGACCTTCCTATGTTTACGAGTCTTCGACTCGAGTTGTGCCCTTTTGTGCTTCGAAGACAAACACCGTGCGACCCGGGCGCATAGGTAATGTTCTCGATGATGGTCAGCTGTCCCTCGGGCGTGCCGTCACGAAACTTCATGTAGATGCCCTTGAAGGTCCGATCCATATAGACGTTCCTAGCGGCTCCGAGGCTCCGACATCAAGCGATGCAGCCAATAGGACAAGGACATGTCCAGCACACATGGATTCTACGTTGCAAAACAGCAACAGCACACAGCAAAGACACGACATGTCAATGTCCGTAAAAACCACAACGACCCGCGTTCGTTCCATTGGCACAGATGTCGGTGGCCTCCGACGGCAAAAAGAATGTCTGCCCTGCCAGGCGGCCGGAAGGTGATGTTGCTCACATGGTCGTTGCCACCCTCTGAGCCAATCGTCAGGCCCAGTCCGCTGGCCTAGTCCGGTGGCTCGAGTTCTGGTGCATGGGGTAGAGTGCAAGTTGGGGGAACTAGAGCGCCGGAAATGAAAAATGAAAGAACAAGGGATGGTCAGCGTCCGATAATATAAATGCAATTATGCAGGGTTGGCAGGATTTGGGCCAAGAGTATCCAAGAGTGTGTTTCAAAAAGGATCAAAAGGGTGTCCTTGGCTCCCTCCCATGCAACATCGGGGGATGGTGATCAACCATGCCATGCAAGTGGGGACATCTGGGAACAAGCGCGTGGCTCCACATGACATCACACGACCCAGCTGACCAGCTCTCATAATCAGCTACTTCGCGGTCTTTTTGTAGGCCTCGATGTTCTCGAAGAGCATGTTGCTGGAGGTGCCCTTCACTGTGAAGCAATCATCTTGATTCCAAACCTTACTGTGATGTACCCACCTGAGCGGTTCCACTGTCAGCACTGTGTTGGGCCCACCGGAAACAAGCAATCGGGGGATTCCTCGCATGGTGAATAAGGAAGGTCTACCACTGGTGGAGAGAATAAGAAATAGGAAGACCAAGCTTGTTGGTAATTAGGCTTCCGTCTGTCTCTATATGATGTGCTCTCTAAAATGTTGAGGCCAACTCAAGTGACACGTCATATAGACCCCTAGAGCTAGCAGCGAGCAGCTGCAGCCCTGAGAGCAGTGATCACACATGCAGGCGACTGAGAGAAGCCGTGGTGAAAACCAAGTGTTGCTTCCCTGAAGCTTAGCCAAGGCGTGCTACATGAAGGAGTATGTTGGAATTGGAATATATATCCCCTCAAGAACATGGCTGACCATTGACCATGTTGTTGCTTTTCACATGTTAATACTAAATAATTCTTTCAACTGGGGGCTCGAGTAGAAATCGGTGAATGAGACCGAACCCCAATCAGAACGCAAGGTTAGGACTATCATGAAAATTAGACCCTAAACATAGATGCAGCATGCTGAGACCACGTGAATCTTTTCTACTTGCTCTGGCCCGGCTCAAATGGATTTGAATGAGTCAGCGATTCCAACAGTAAACATATGAAATGAACTGTGTAAAAATATTCTTTTCCGGAAACATGGCTACACTGGCGCGAGTGCCGTGCGAGTCTTTCCGAACCTGACGCGAGTGCCGCGCGAGTCGAGGTATCCAGCTACCCACGTCGAAAATATTCAAATCAGTTTGGTCACCTTCCCTCTAACCTGCATGGAAACAAAGCATCCAAACAATGGTGTTGAACTGATATTCTTAAAGCTTATTCCAATAAAGTTGATATCTTGCCTGCACCTAAACCGCATGTAAACGCAGCTAAACAATGTTGTTGACCTGACACTCTTCCAGTTATAGTGCCATCTTGCATCTAACCCCATTGTAAACGCAGCATCCAGACGACTTTCTAATTAGACCAGACGACTTAACACAAGTGCTAGTAGTCATGGATCCAATGAGCTCCGTAGAAGATACAAAATTACATCAAAGCACCTCTGAAATCCCACAAAAAGTTGTGAGCCGTTTTGGCTTCCTCCAACTTTCTGAAAGATCCTCCGCCACAGCCGAGACTCAATCCCAGCAAACCAAAGCAAATCTGTGGACTCCCTCTCAAGCGGTTCCACAGGGTTTGCCCGCCCCATGCCCTTTGAAACGTTATGGGCTTGTGATCCCAGGTCGTCTCTCTTCGGTTCGGATGCCAGGCTACACGTTGGTCCCTGAGATATCCCAGCCATCTGTGTTCAAAGCTCCAAGGTTGTAGACATCATGGCCTCGTCCGCAAAAGGCGCCACCGGCGTTGTGGAAGATCAGCCGAGTGGTGCGACAATCCCAGAAATGGATGAGGTGACACGTGTCGTTTCGTTACAGCTTTTCATAGCTCGGGGTCTCTGGCAACATGCCAATACCAACCCTGCCACATCTGACTTGGTTGATGGGTAACCTATGATATATTTTGGGAGAGGATCAAGTGCACATTCCAACGGATGCAATTCCTTCAACTGCTCATTCAAACAGCCAGTCACACATGAACGTCACACTCATGACTCATGCTCTGAAACATCTTAATCTCTCATAATCTCTCAAGAGCATGTCCCGACTTCATAAATTACACACTCATGTCCCTGTCACACATAATCCCTGCATGTCCCGACTTCTCCCGACTTCGGAAGTTCAGGCTTTTCGCCAACGACTCCATGATACTCCATGAATTTCCCCATCCTCCCAGGGCTTGTCCAACTGGGACGAGCAAGCCTTTCGATCCTCCCGACTCGCAACATCATGGGGCGAGTCAGGTGGCCCTTGTGCTTGGTCCTCTCGTTCAAAATGTCCGACTCCCGAATCTCCAGGCCATCCACCCCACCTGGGCAGCCACAGAGTGCGAGTGCGAGTGCGAGGCGATTTCATCCAGCTCCATGTTGAACCATTTTTCACCCACATGGAATCGAAGCGATGATTTGGATCGACGATGGTCCTCGTTTCATCTCGTTTCACCAGCGGTGCGATCGGCGACGAGCCTCGTTTCTTGCTCATCACCCTCGCTCGAAACTCGTCGTGGTCGGGACGGCTCGGGTCTCATGGCGTAGCGTAACTCATGGCGAACCGAACTACGAAGATACACCAGGGCCCCCGGATATAGGGGTGGTTCATGGACACCCCTTAACCTCTAAGGAGCCACTATTAGACACCCCTTAGGGGGCCTAGTACGAGTGGAACATCAATGTCCTCTGCCTGTGTCTCCGTGTTTCCGGACGTGCGATCTCCGTCCCACCGAGCGACCTACCTACCCCCCCGGGAGATCGCGGGGGGCTCTAACCAGCTTCCGAAGCTCACCGTCACCGTTATGTACGCCTCGGCACCGAAAGATGTCGTCCAGTAGGGCGCGTTCTTCAAGAACAAGCGCTCCACCAAGACATTCTTGATCTGTGACATCTCCCATAGCCGCGGGCGGTTCTCCTCATGGACCAAGTATCGGATGAAGCCCCACCATGCAGCGCCTGGTTTCGGGTGGGCTCGCAGTTTTTGGGGGGAATGCCTCATGTGTCAGAAGAGATGCTCACTTGGGCATGGATATTTCGCATGGGGTGAGTTTGAGAATGGAAGCTGTTTGTTTGAATGTTTATCCGGGGTCGCTTCGAAAGGCCCTCAAGGTGCTTGGTTTGCTTGTGGGTGTTTGCACGTTCTCATCTTAAAGGATATATTCTATGTGGGAGGCCTTCCAGAATGCCATATGCTTGCTGCACAACATGAGTGATGGAACAACATAGAATATATACACCAAGTCCCCCAAGGCACTGTTCAGGCAAAATCTTTTCGATATACTGCTGTACAGTATATCTTTCTCCTTACCCCCTCTCCACCTCCATTGCACCTCAAAGCTCACTGGACCCAGCTCCAGCCAGAATCCGACAACAAACTGCGACGCATATTATGCAAGAATAGCTGTAAAACCCTGACGCATCCTGACCCTAGCCAGAAAATGAGTTGCTAAAGCTCTTGTGGGTGTTACCCCCATAGACCCTCTATTCATAACCCCTCTAACTACTTTGGCCAGCCCCAGTGGGAAAAAGCATTTTTTTCCTTCCATCTTCTCATCCTTCCTGATTGAATCTTCAACCTCATAGGTGTTCATGTTCTGTTCTTCTGGCAGCTCATTCGCCTGCAATTCTTGGGCCTCATTGACAACCTTATGGGCCAATTCCTGCAGCTTCCTGCAGCTCGTTCTCCTCATGAAGAGATTTCGTCTTTGGGATCCCTCCTCGTTGCTCCACATTAAAACTTACTTCCTAGGAGCTTCCAACCTTCGGGGAGTGTTTGGTTCACCATGTGGACCATATGTGGCAATGCATGAAGGCGCAAGTCGCAAGTAGTCTCGGAACCTTTGTCAACCAAAAATTTAAGGATCCCAAAGAATACTTCAAGAAATGAGAAATGAGATAGAGCCTCTGGAAGCTGCTCTAAGACCCTAAGGCTGGTAATTATCCACTTGAAACTGAACCATGGATGATCCGGAAACATGATGAACCAATATGAACCATGCATCTCCTTTGAAACCTGTGTCCACCTATCCTCTTCGTCTTTTTCGTTCAACCAATGGCCCTCCCTGCCGTTCCGCTACATCGGGTCGACCGTCTACGCCAACCCGCCGGACGCCGCCCGACCGCCTTGCCCATCGAGGGTCCCGCGGCCGGCCGATGTGAAGGTCACGTTGACGAGGTTCTCGAAGCGCATGCAGGCCAAGACACCACCTGGGCGCCCGACGCCGTCCAAGGGCGACGGTCCAGGACGGCGGAGGACGTAGGAATTGGTGACGATGTGTTTGGAGAGGTGATCTGGGGGTCAGTGTTTCTTGAGCACTAAAAACGGGTGCGAGCTTTTTCAAAAAAAAACGTTGTCCAGTTTTGTGGTCTTGGTGTGGATGCCTTCGGATTTTTTGCGGTAGGTTTTCATCTGAATGAGCAAATGCCCAGCCAATCGGTTCGACGCAGTCTCTAGCAAAGACTCACACGCATGCAACCATCCACTGGAACTGTTGAATGGGTACATCACCCACCCAGGAGGAAAACAGAAACACCAAGTTCGGACTCAGTATAGCCGCAAAAAATAGCGGCACGCCCCTAATGAGCCCCCACTCGAAGCACAGGAGAACAAACCAACTTAGATACAAAACTTAGCATCTCAAGACGCCCCAGACCCCCCCCCCCCGGTCCCCAGACGCCTTCACCCCCCAAAAGACCCGGTCCCTCGCTCGGCCTGTGGCCGTCCGGGGCCAGTCTTTGGTGCGCTCCGAGAAGACCAACGTGCCGTCCAGCCTCGAGCGGTGGGGGACCACGGAGCGTGCGCCGCGGAAAAGACACCACCTGATCCGAAGCAAAACGGCCGAGGTGGCATGTGGTCTCTTTGGTCGTTCGGTTCGCCCCATTTTGGTTTCGATGGGTTCACAAGGGTCGCAGGGGACTAGTCTTTCGCATGGGATTTCCTGCCTTCCAAGCAGAAGACTTTCTACCCATCGATCCTGAGATGTCCAGCGGTTTTCAGTCCCAAACAACCCAACCAACTCAGGAGATGAAAAACGAGGCGAAGAAGAGTCAAACTGAGGGTAACTTATAGAACGACATCGACTTAGGACACTTCCAGTGACGTTTCCTAGACTAGGAAACCATTATTACTTAGGATTACTTAGGATATCTTAAGATATTACCTAGGAAATCGTCGTCTTCGTTGCCTACTGGCACAATTGTAGCAACGAAAATGGAGAATCATGAGCTTCAGCTTTGCTCAGCTCTGTGAGCATCTAATCTAGCAGTGATGCCACATGACATAACACCGCTGGCGCGGTGTTGAACCCTTCGCCACCATGTTCAGAATAATGCTCACCAGTTTACCCAAGAGCACTCCCAAGAGCATATCATAGGAAAGAACCTTTTGCAATGTTGAACCTTGCAGCCAGGACATGCCAGGACGGCCCAACAAACTCAAAGACCTGGCAACATTGTAGCATTCTGGCAAGACCTCGTGAACGACCCCCTGACAAACCCATGGCCTGGCTGGGCATCGCGTCACACTGATCAATCGCTCGGGGACCATTTTCAGAAGCCGAAAAATGAAACGCTTCAACTTTGTGGCTCGGATGCAGGGGGATGGACCTAGTCTAGTCTAGAGAGTCTAGGGCTGCAAACCCCCTACCAGTTCCGAACATGGAGCCATCTGGAACCACAAAACACGATGAGGTATGGGATCCCCAGATTGAAGGACCCTGCCCTTATTACTTGAGCCCATTTTGGAGAGGGGTATATACATTTGATCCGGCGATCCGATGATCAGTATCCGCCATCATGCCAAAGTGGCTGGATCACAACATCGGACAAATTCCTCGCCTCCAAGGATACATGTTCAAGGGTTGCTCGTGGATCAGGAGTCACAAAGGGGCGGGGTGCCTATTGGAAGTTAGGGGTGCCCATTATCCACTCAGTTAGGCCGGGACTAAACACCACCCCTGTGCGACCCCTTGGGATATGTAATTCAAATAGTCAGACCGTAGCCCTGGTCCGCAAATTCCTCGAGACGGCCTTCTCCCACAAAAACGCCCTTCACAGTGTCATCTCTTCTTGATCATATTTCTTCATTGTTTTTTGTTTGCCTTTTTGCGGTCGTATTCCTTATGCAGGAATATGCCTTGACAGCCCTTACAAATACTTACAAAAGAGTCGTGGATCCTGCCTGGATGCCGCCCATGACATGAAAGCGCTTGGCCGGGATCAGCAGTCGATCACCCGGCTGCATCTGTGCAAAGGACTCATTCAGCTTTTGCCCGTTGAAGCGCTCAGTGGCCTCGCTGGCATCCTCTGGTTTGGCGCCCAGGTCCTTCTCCAAGTCGATGACCCGCGCGGCGCTCAAACACGCGAGGAGCGCCAGTGGATGGAGTGCGCGGAAGATCGCCATGGCGGGTGAACTCGAATGAACGACTTGAGCCCAGTGGACCAGCAAGCAGGACCTTGTAACCAGAAAACCAGCACTGAATATCCACATCCCAAACGATCAAACAGGAACAGCACCCCCTTGGTCCCCTGGATCCATGAAAGGACAGCACTTGGTCCCGGTCACCTGCCGTCCCGAGGTCCGCATCCATCCAGCGCCCAGCCGAAGAGACACGCAGGTCCGCACGAGCCGTTCACTCCCGAGGGGCTCAAGTCCTTCCGCTTCCTCTTCCTGGCAGCTGGGTGCAGGAACCCGAAACATCAACCAAAGCACACGGAAAAGCACACAGAAAAGCCACGTGAAGCTACGCGTCACCACAAGTCAATAACATGATCTCAACATGTGAGTTTTCTGAAAAGGGAGTGCAATTGTGCATCTGCAGAATTCCAGGCTTCCTGTTCTCCTCCGCGGGCGCAGCCGGGGCTGCTGCCGCGCTCGGGGAGGGTTCTGGTGTGGTGGGATCCGACGCCAGCGCAGGGGAAGCGGACGCCATGGCAGGTGAGGCGCTCTCCATGGCTGAGCAAGTTGGCTTTTCAGTTGGGTTGAGAAGCCCAACAAATAAGGTTGGACCATCCAGAAATCACCTCAGGGTGGCCTGGAGCGCCCTGTATTCCTGAATCGGAGGGAGAATGGTCAACTATGGTCCTGTCACACAGGCCTGATGGGCTTGGTGGATTCGTCGAACACACACAAGTCCGTCATGTTCTCACACCGTCCGTCCTGTGGAGTGGCTAGGGTGGGCAGTGTGCTCGTCCCGTGCTCAACTAGCATGTTCTGCTTCATGTAGTGCTCCAGACAGGTAGTGTAGTGCTGGTGATGATCTGCCCCACTTCTCGCCTCTTGAGGGTGGCAGCGGGATAAGCAAATCAGCAAAATCACCAAAAAAAGAACATCAACTCAAACGTACCCTACTGAAAAGTAACATGGAGCCTGAAAACCACTGCTTTGTAGAGGAAAACAGCCTCTCAGGGTGCCATTCTCCGGGTTCATGATAGTTTTCGGGAGCGTATCACGTATTTGCCATGGTCAAGATCTCCTATTGGGGTTGTCTGCCAGTTCCCGCCAAATGTAGGTAGGTGACCATCACTTGGTGTTGCACTAGAGCCAAGTGACAAAACATCGCCACCAGTTAGTTCCAACATGAACCACAACAATTTCATGTTCATCCCCCAAAAAGGGCCACGAACTGCTGCAGGTGGCGGTTTTGGCTCGCAAGCCGCCATGGGGGTCTAAGACTGGGAAGGTTCTGGCTTTAGGACCCCAAATATTGATTCAACAACGTATATATATATATACATATATTATATATATATATGTATATCTATAAATTATGTGTGTGTGCGTGTATGTTTTTTCTAAATAAGATCTCAAGCAGCATGTACAGTATATAAGTCTGTATAAGCGTTATTGTCCTAAGGTCACTTTGGTCGGGGCGACTCACCGCCTGAGTACCATCCTTGACGTTTACTTAGACTTCGAGCCCGTCAGAAGCGCAGCCCGCCAGCAATCCCCCTGCCATCCCCTGCCTAGGCCTAGAGTGCCAAAGCCTCGCCCCAATAGAACAAACACCTTAATTTCTGGCACGGAGGCTTTGCAGTGAGTGGAGCCTCTTTTTTTGGAGAGCGCTCAGTAGGGCACCCGCACTGTGCGCAAGTGAGTGACAAGGTGGTAGAAAGTGGAAGCAAGGGGCATCCACAGGCCCCCCCTGTGACCGCATCATTTACTCTTCGGGTCTCCTCCATTGGCGTCACTCGCCCCAAATAGTATTCACAGGGCTGCTAGGGAAAATCATGCGCGCAAAAGTGGTCGTCTTTACATGTCTTTACTATGTACATTGTTACATGTCGCTTCCCAAAACAAATTTGGCACCAAGATCAAGAAATTGCTAGTTAATGGCATGAAGGAATGTGGGATCCACGTGTATATAATATAATATAACATGTATGCACGTAGCATAAGTCTACATACTAAATAAGGAGCACAGGAGGCAGCCTACCAGGAATGAACTTCGCGGCGTTGGACGATGATGAAGAAAGGCAGGTCAAAGGCATTTCAAATGACTCGGTCGCGGCCCCAAATTATCAAATCACAGGGGGCTGACAGTAATCTTGTGCTGCCACCTCACCTCCCGAAGTTTCTTTTGTATATGATTGTGTATGTACACCCAGAAAATGAACATGGAACCTGAAAACCACTTGGTTGTAGAGGAAAATAGTCTTCCAAGACCTTCCGAAGGTCCATTTTCAGGTTCCATGTTCATCTTCCCAGGTGTATCTACTAGGTTGACCTAGGTTCATGGACAATGTGTGACGATGGGAACATGCGAGGAATGTGATCACTTCGCTGGTCCTGATGGCAACATCCATGTTGGAGGGCATTACATGGAGACTTGATATATCAATTCCATCCTGCAACCAATTTCAACGAATGCTTACGTCATCAAAGGCATGACTCACATTGTCAACTGTGTAGCACCAGTCCACGAGCCGAAAAAGGTTTATAGGATCTGATTCCCATCTTTGATCGGGTTTCAGGGACGGGACAGAACGCGCGTGCGGAACGGCAACAGGATCATGAGCCGAAACGCTTAGGTTAGCACACCGCTCGATCTCCAACGTAGCACATCAGTCTCGGCGCCGGTGAGACGAGACTTCAGTGAGCACATAACAGTACGGTGCTGGGAACTCTGGGGCCCTTGGGCCCCCTCACCTCAACTTCGCAAGAACCCCCCAACTTCTGGAAAATCCCTGGAGCCTGTGACCCACACGAGAACTCCAGCAGAACGACCTGATCTCAGACCGGACCCAATGGACCCTCACGATCGACACGCGGACCGCCGACCGGTGCGTCCAAGGGCACGCCAGCACCGGCAAGCCGAGGCCTAATTGGAAGAGGGCTGGGCCTCAGCGCGTCGCGCAGGTTAGTCGCATGCGAGTCCGGAGCGAGTGGCGCCACCGCGGCGGCGGTTGGGGGTCCCAAGCACAAGGATCGAGAGTGACGGGTATGTTAGTGCATATGCATGCAGATGTTGGGAAGTTCTGCATTCATCCAGTGACACTGATGAGGACATGGGCAACAGTGTCGGTAGCTATTTAACTCACATATTTATCGAACCCCACTGCCAAGGCCCCACACACACACACCATGTATAGTTTAACAAAGTATATATAATAAGAAAAACTATGCCATATATGATGCTGTTTGCTAAAAACATTATTACATATTATTTGAATATAATATATATATATATACACTATGTACAACTATGTCACTATATACTGTATACAAATGCACCTCTTCCCAACTGGCATCTGGCTTGTCATCTCTCTGGCCATTCACTTCGTTCATTTAACACTTTAATCAGCTCAAGGAGCGGCCGTATCAGCAGGCATCTTTTCACTGATCTCACCCAGTGGCTGTGAAGGATCAAAAGGCCGTGGTAGAAGGCCTGCGCTTTGGCACGTTTCAGGGAGGCAGTTATGGCATGTTGGGCGGACTGCTTGGTGGACTCAGTGGGCCTCACTGAACTCAGACCCTTGGAGCAGGACGACCAAGCCACAAATCATTGCAGGTGCCCTTGTGCGTTTTTCACCCAATCCAACCGTGCCATCTAGCTTGCCTGCCTTGCTTGAAAGTGGTGGCTTGGCACTCTGCAGTTGGAAGGCTGTTTTGTAGTCCCTTGTGGTGACTGAAGGGACCAATGACAACCACCCACTCCAAGTGCGCCGAAACTGACACGTCACGACCGGTCGGCGTTGTCGGTCGGGACTGGTTATCCCAGGTCGACACAAGGTCTTACACGCATGGTCGACTGCAGCATGTCAACAAACACTGGAAAATACGACCGGCTCCGAACTCTATGTTGGAATCTCTCCCTATATCTCTGTGTGTGTTAATGATTGTTAATGGTACTGCTGGCTTCTGGATAGACCTGCTACACCACGAGTGCCCCCGCAGAACCTGCCATCCTGACCACAGCCATCGAGTGGAGTATGCCATCCTGGCCATGTATGGCCTACAAGTCCAGGTCAGCAAGGTGGATCAGGTGATGACCATGGTGGATTTGCTTCATCCCTCTCCCCTTCGATGCCAAACCGCCCATGAGAACCCAGCGTTCCCATCCGCCCAATCTGGTGGGCCCCCACTGTGGCAAGGAGTGCCGGAAGCACCTGACAGTAACATGAACATCTGCTAGTGCATTCCTAGCCAGATGCACTCTTGAGCAACGAGCAGGACCCAGGAACTAACAAGCCGGAGAATGTGTAAACTGCGCTAGAAAATAATGACAAACGATAGATAGAGTTCAATTTATTAGCAGCTGGGTTGTTGATCAGACCTCCAAACGCGATCCAGTTCAAGCCAGAACGATGCCGTGAAGAACGGAGAACATAGGAGAACTAAGAGGAGCACAGAATGAGCAAAGAAGAGCAATGTCTTTTCTAACTTTGACTCCGATGCTTAGAGCATCGGATTTGCCCACTAAAAATTTGGGCTGTGTTACTTGCAAAGCGCTGCCATGCTGGTGAGGCAACAATCTGCTTGGAGGACCATCCCAGTATAGGTTTGGAAGGCTTCCGAAGCATGCTGAATCTCCAGTCACCTGGAGCATTGCAAATAAATACGGGAACCCCCCCCAAATTGCTCGGCTCATTGACTCAATGGCCTTTGAATCATGTGCCTGCAGCGTTCGGAGCGTCACAGCCGGAACATCCGGCTCGACCAGGGCCCCCTGCGACCGCCGGCGAGAGGTTGCCGACCTTGGCAGGAGAGCGGAGGAGACGTGTGTGGCTTGGGGAACCCAGGTGCTTGGTCTATACGCCCCTGCAAGTGAACATCAAAACCGCTGGGTTGTAGAGGACAATGGTTGAAACCACGGGCCAAGTCTGTTCATCCGCAGGGGGTTGGTCAGAATCATGCTTGGTCAGAATCCTGGGCTCAGCATGGTTCAGTTCAAAACGGGCCGTTAAGGACCGCACATGTCAATGCGGCATGGGGTCCAGGTTTTCCTAGTGATCCTGCTACTTCCAGCTACGCACTTGGAACATGGAATG